GTCAGAGCGTGGCAATTTCCACAGCAGTTTAGCGCAGTGACCTTCTGAAAATAAGATAACAGGCTTACAGTTTACCTTTAAAAAAAAAAAAGTTTTGAAACAGTATGAGGGGAACTTCTAGCAGCAGTTCATGGAAACGAGCATCACAAAAAAAAATCTACAGATTTCAAAAAGTTTTCACAGCCACATAAACATCTTTTGCTTCCATTTTCCATGAACTTTCTGAAGCACCTTTGTATTTTAAAATATATATAGTTCTAGGGCCTGGCACGGTGGCCTAGCGGCTAAGGTCCTTACCTTGAATGTGCCAGGATTCCATATGGGTGCCGGTTCTAATCCCGGCAGCCCCACTTCCCATCCAGCTTTCCGCTTGTGGCCTGGGAAAGCAGTCGAGGACGGCCCGGGGCCTTGGGACCCTGCACCAGTGTGGGGGGACTTGCAGGGGGATCCTGGCTCCTGGTTTTGGATCGGCACAGCACTGGCCATTGCGGTCACTTGGGGAGTGAATCGTTGGACAGAGGATCTTCCTGTCTGCCCTCCTCTCTGTATATCTGACTTACCAAAAACACGAAGGAACTCTTCTATCTGCAGGTTGACTCCCCAAATACCCAGAGCAGCCCGGGTGAAACCAGTGGCCTCACACTCCACCCAGGTCTCCCAGGTGGGCAGCAGAGCCCCCAAGGCCTTGGGCCATCACCTGCTGCCTCGCAGGTGCTTTGGCGGGACCCACGACAGCAGGGGAGCTGCCAGGACGCAGCATTGATGAGGGATGCCAGGGTTGCGAGCCACACAGCCCCTAGCGTTCACGTCCTACCAGAGACCCTGAGCAAAGCCTCCCCTCCCCCTGCTTGCTGTGCAGGCTCCAGTATGTTCTATAAACACGACAGGGGCAGCAGCAGGAACACTGCAAAGCCGTCATGACTCTTTTTAAAAAGTTATTTGACAAAGAGAGAGAGAAGCAGAGAGAGAGAGAGAGATGGACAGAGTGCTCCATCCTGCCTCAGTCCCTGAGGCCGAAGCCAGGAATCAGCAAAGAGCCTGGTGAAGTGCAGGGACTCAGGTGTTGGAGCCATCGCCCCTGCTTCCCAGGGTCTGCGTGAGCAGCCAGGAGCTGGAGGGAAACTCAGAGAGGGGCTGCGGCGGCTGGGATGAGCACCCGCCCCAGGCCGCTAACGTCCAGGTCCACAGCCACTGGCCTGGCCCGCACCAGAATGGGCAGGGTCACCTGGGCCCAGGCCACAGCCCCAGGCCATCATTCCCAGGCTCCACACTGTTCCCTGTGGACTTCCAGCCGGCTGAGCAGCACACGGCCTTGAGAACACAGATCAAGCTGCTTTACAAAGGAAGAAAAAAAAAAAAAGACTGCTTCTTTTTCCCCACAGGAAATGATTCTCTCCCTAAAGAAAAATCCCAGAAATCAATCTGGCACTCGGGGATGGTGTAAGAAAGCCACCCACCCCTGCCCCCGGCCATTTCAAGAGTGTGCCCCTTGGAAATGGCATTGCTGTTCTCACTACAATACGCAAACAACAACAAACAACACAAGTGCTGCTATACTGATTTGTAGAACCACCTCCCACTCACACGCAACCCCCCATGTTGTACTGGGGACCCATATTCTAGCTGTACTACTCTAGCACTGGATCGTGCTGGGGGTCAACTGCCCTGGGTTGTAGTCTCCACATCTCTGGGCCTTGGTTTACTCATCTGCAGAATGGGAATGGGGCCACCCATCTCACCGATCACAAGGGCGGAAGGAAGTAAACAGCTGAGAACACGGGCCCACGAATTCAAAGAGGAAGAGCTAACCAGCACTGGGCGCATCCACAAGAGCCGAGCTCCACTCTCCTCACTCAACCCCATGACTCGGTGTTCATTGTAACGGCATTCTCTGTTACCAATATTCATTCAAATAGTATTAAATTCATAACCATAATACTAAGGTATCTCCAGCCTTGTCCATGAGCCCAGCATGCATGGTGGTAATGGCTTTTGCTCCTGAAATCTCAGGTGACCTCTGTGGACCCCCGCCCCCTCCGCCAAGCACCGTGAGGACATGGCAGCACCCTGGCCTTCTGTGATGTCCCAGTGTGATGACCCAGGTAACTGGGACCAGACACCACCCACCAACAGGACACACGGGACTGACCTGTGGGTCTGTGGGGGGGAACGTTTGGTGGTCTGCCTCTCCCATGGAAGCAAAGGAAATGCATGTAGCCCTGCTGGGTAAAGGGGTGGCTTTGGGGACTGTAGTTCGGAGCACAAGTTCATATTTTGAGTCTCCCAAGCCCAGCAGGCTGCTGGGGCAAAACACAGGGCTCAGGCTGGCAGGCATCGAAGCCAGCACACCCTCATCTGCTCCTCTCCTGGCTCCCGCTGCCCCCAGCAGCCTGGGAGGCAGCCCAACCCTTGCCAAGAAACAAAGAGTTCACTGTCCGCCAGCAAGGGCCTTGATTAATATTTGCAAGAGAATCAGCCAGAAAATTCCACCTGTGTGGGTGGAGGTTGGACATAGGACAAGTCAACAACCCCCACGGCCTTGGGCTCTCTTGGGGATGACACAGGCAGAGAGGCAAAGGTCTCCGGGATGGGCCTTCCCCTGGGGTCCCAGGAAATGCCTCTTCCGGGGTCACAGAGGTCACAAGGGCATCTCTGTCCTGCCCTGGCAGCTCTGAGCCCCATGATTTGCTTTGCTAGGTCTCACTGCTGCTGCCCCGTCTCCCTTGCTGGAGACACAGAGCCAAGGTCTGCACCCAGCCTCACCCCAGGCCAGCGGACGGCAAGCCACAGAGCCGAGCAGTCTGCAAGCAGCAGCACCAAGCCCACCCAGGGGTCTGCAAGCAGCTGCCTTCCGGGCTCTGTAGGGGGCCTCTGCCTTCACCCCCACCCGTGGATGAAGAAGAGGTAGACCAACCAACTCTCCTGGGTTGCCAGGCTTAGGACACACTGGCCTTGGAGGAATGTCAGCTTGCATTACTTCATTCATTCACTGTATTTGACACAGCAACCGAGCAGCGGTTAGCAAGAGGGTACCAAGCTGGTGGGCGGAGACAGACCAGTCCCCTCCAGCAGGTAGCCCATCAAGACCAGCTCAGAGAGGGCTGCTGCAGGGCCCTCCATGCCTCTTCTTCTACCCCTCTTGCAGTTCTGGCCACAGAGCCCCCAGGAGACCAGGGCAGTGTCATCACTGGCCTCCAGGCAGTGCCGGTAGGGGTTAAGGAGGTGGCCACTCAGGTTGTGCAAGGCTGGGGTCCCTCTGTGGGACTCCACATCTGTACGGTACCCCTCTTCCAACTCAGGGCGTAGCATCCTCCACTCCCTCCCCGCCCATTCTGCCTGTCTCCTGGGCCCACCAGTTCCCACCTGGAGAAAGACCCTCAGCCCCTCCCCATCTTCAACAGGAGCACCTCCCAGCCTACTCCCCACTCCCTAGTCCATCCCCATGCGCTCTCCTCCTCCTTCCCCACCACTGGGCCTTCCTGCAGCAATTCCTCCCAGCCGGCCCACACCTGCAGAAAGCTCTCCTCCCTGACCTCCCACTTTGCAAGCCAGGTTCCACATCCCTGGCTATCCAAAGCCCTGATACTCAGTAGCTCCAGTCTCCTGCCCAAGAGCCTGGCCAGCGGCAGGACCTGGCACTCACCGAGCAGACACACGTGGTGACCCACAGCCTCCTCGTGGATCTCAGCCACCCAGGGGCCTTCCTAGAGCTGCCAAGTGGTCAGCGCCCAAAGCCTCAGGCTGGGCGGCAGGGAACAAAGTCCAGGGAGGCAGTGCCCAGGGGTGTGTGCTGCCCCTCTTTGTTCCTCACTAAGCTCATCCTCTGTTGGTGTCGTTCACCTTTGCACTCAGGACCTGGCACCCAGCAAGCTGGTGCTGCGGCCACTGCAGGCCCAGAGTCTCACAGAGGCCACGTGTGGGGTCCCCCAACCCCCGGGCCGCCCGGCACAGGTGAGGCTCAAACCAGCTGAGCTGCCTCTTCTTGGTCAGAAGCCACAGCACCTGTACTACCAGGTAATTCCAGAGCTCGCCTCCCCCAACACACACACTCTGCTACACTTGGCAAACTGGTCCTAGTCCATGCACACAGCAGGGTCTCAGCTAAGAGCTGCCTATAGGTACAGCTGGCATCCCATATGGGTAGTGATTCAAATCCTGGTTGCTAGCGCCCCATACGTGGTAGCCTAGTGACTGAAGCCCTCACCTTGCACGCACCTGGATCCCATGTGAGTGCCAGTTCTAATCCCGGCTAATCCAGCTCCTTGCGAATGGACCGAGAAACCAGTGGAGGATGACTCAAGTCCTTGGGTCCCTGTATCCATGTGGGAGACCCAGGAGAAGCTCCTGGCTTCCAACAGGCCCAGTGAACCAGTCAGTGGAAGGAACCCCTCGCGCTCTCTCCCCTCTGTAACTCTGCCTTTCAAATAAATCTTTTTCAAATACTAATAAATTAATTAATACAAGCAGCTGCCCGCCTCAACCTCACCAGCTGACCGTAAGTTCCAAATCTATGTCTGGGTCTCTGTCTTCTGACTTGCAGTCATCCACCTCCGGAAGCCTCGGAGTTCCCAGCACCGGGACTTCTTCCCTCAGACACATCTCTCTCAAAGGACAGACTCCGCGCCACCCACCCAAGGGCTCCTGCGGGGACAGAGACTCGGGGAGAGGGGGAGTGAGACCGGACTCACTGAACGCAGGCACCAGGGTGATCGGACCCGCCGGCGGGAGCCTCCTCTTAGGCCCAAAGTGACCGTGGCCCGGCGAAGTGGGGCCTTCTGCCACACCAACGTCGTCTAACAAAGTTACTGCCAAGAGCCAGCCTTCCCTGCCTTCCCCCACCCCCAGCCCCCAAAACTCTTCCAGGCTTCAGCAGCACTTTGTATTTCCGGTGGGCCTCCAGCCACTAAGCAAACCCAACGACCCACCTACCCTCGCCGCGTCCCGCCCGGCCCACCCGACCATCTAAATCCCGAGTTCCGGGGCGCCTCGCCCCTACTCACCCTCTGCAGAGCACGGCCCGAAAGTGGGGTCGCCCGGCTTCGCTGTAACTGACCGCCAGAGCCCCGCGCGCTCCCTGCGTCCGGAAGGGGCGAGGGCGCAGCGAGGCGGGGCGGAGCGAGGGCGCGAGCGGCGCACCTGGCTAGCAGCGCGCACCTGTGCGCAGGACCCGCGGTGCGCGGCGGCGGCTGCTCTGGCGCTGTCCTACCCGGGGAACCAGGCTGCTCGCCCCCGGCCCGGCCCTCTGAACCTTACGGGGGAGGGCGATGCGAGCTTTCCCCGACCGACCAGCCCACTGCCCCGGCGGCGGCGGGGCGGGAGCGGCTGTGCTGGAGGCGGAGCCCGGGAGTGGGAGGTAGCTGGGGGAGCGGCCCGGGACGCAGGAATAAGAGCGCGGCCAGCGCCTGGCACGAGAGACTCCGCGCGGTGGCAGGAGGTGGTCGGGCAATGTCACTTGTGCTGCTGGGCCTGGCCGCACTGTGCAGGAATGTCTTGCTTGGAGAGCCGGTAAGCCCCCAATCTCAGGCACCCTCGTGGAAGGGGGCATCCCAGGACCACCATATAGCCTGATCCTCTTGGGTGGAGGATCAGACCTAGTGTTCGATGCCTGCCAGGGCTGTTGACACAGGCATCCCAAGATGCCCAAATGGCACGTGAGGGTTGATGCTTTCCCGGCAGCATGCCACTGAGCGGGCAAGGTTAGGGATGAGTGGTTGATGGTGTGGCCAAGGGTCTCATCTCCAAAGCACCTTGGCATGTCCCACCTCCATCGGGGAAGACTTCATTCTTTTCCCCCAGGGCCGATAGTTTGCCAGGTTCCCAGGGCTTGCCTGACTTCACCCCCAAGGGTGTGTCAGTGGCTCTGCGGCCAGAACTCAGCTCCTACGCTGGGTCCTTGCTGGCTTTCAATGTCATGTCTCATGAGCTCACTCGGAAAACAGATGAGCGATAGATGATTTTGTCCAAATTCAACTACTCGAACCTTTACAGGTAGTCTTGCTGCATTCCTTACAAATTGCTAAGGGCCTAGGTTTTGGGGTGGGAAGCTGGTGGGCTTTTTGATGTTGGCTGGGGATGAAGACCAAGACATACTTCACTTTGGTGGCGAGCAGCAAGTCCCAGCAACAAGACTCCACCTGCTAAGAATTTCTTACTGAGAAGAGACCTGAGTAAGTTACCTTGCAGGGGTCTGACAGCAGCCTCAGCTGCGGGTGATCCCTGGGTGTGTCTGGAGCAGGGTCCTTTGAAAAAGAGAACCTGAGGTCGTGGCCTTCTGCATAGCTTCAGTGAGCTGGAGTTAAAACATCCAGGAGAGGACTATCCCCAAGAGCCCGGGGAAGGCTGCATTTATGGCTTGCTTTCTGGCAGTTGGTCCTTAACCTACTCTGGATCCAGACAAGGTGACGTTAAGTCCTTGCATGTACATGGGCTCAGAATCACCCCCTGCAGGGATGGGCATGTACTAGGAGACAGTGGAGACCCAGCTCTGCCCTTGGAAGGAGACAGTGGGCCGACTGGAGGCTCTGCTCTGCAGGTGGCTAAGCCTCTATCCCTCCTGGCTCAGGGTCAAGCAGCTTAGCTTTTTCCAGGCTGCATAACGGAACAGGCTCCTCTGTTCTCTGAAAGTTCATCACTTCTAGGTGTGCCTCTAAGGAAAAGGATGGTATTTTGAAGGTTTTGTGGTTAGCTGGCCCCAGTGTGACGCTTGGTCCCTTTCTCTCCCACAGACTATCCAGTGTGGCTCTGAAAACGGTAGGTGTGTGACAGGGAAAAGGACTTCGGGGCTTCTGCATGCAGAGAGTGGTGGCCTGTTGAGGGGTCTGAGTCCTGGGCACCCCACTGCCCTGGGAACTGATATGGATGAAGGTCCCTCCTCTGCCCGAGGCTGACCTCTGGTGGAGGTTCTGGTGGGCTGGCCTCCTGGCCGCAGGGTGGGACTCACCAGGTGGGGCCCAGAGCAATGCCAGTGGCTCTGCAGAGGGTGTCAGAGCACCGGCAGGGAGGTCCCTGAGAGTAGGCACCAGGAAGCAGATGTTCCAGAGAAGAGGGGGGTTGTTTGAGATAGCAGCATTTGAATAATGTGGTTAGTGGGCGAGCAAGAGGACGGGTACCAGCCAAAGCCTGGGGCGGTGGGGAAGAAAGGGGGCGGGGTGGGACCAGCTGGCAAGAGTCCAGGCCCTGAAAAGCGGAACTGACTCCAAAGATCATTTCAAAACACCAGACTGATGTTGACATGCAGACCCAGGCCCCTGGAGTGAGGCGACCTCCAGCTTCCCCCAGGACTCTGTAGCTTGGGGTCAGGGCGGGTGGGCAGTGTTTCTCTCCCTGCCAACAGGGGATGGGCCAGTGGGCCTCCAGACAGTGCTGGGAAGGGGAGTGTCATGCCAGTCTTGCCTCTCTCCAGGGCCATCTCCAGAGTGGCTGGTCCAACATACCCTGACCCCGGGGGATTTGAGGGACCTCTGGGTAGAACCTGTTAAAACCAGGGTCGCGACGGACTACTCGGTTTTGATGAACATCAGTTGGGTTCTCCGGGCAGATGGTAAGTTTGGGCCAAGATGCCCCACTAAACCACAAACCCACAGATGGTGTGACCCATTAGCTGCTCACCTGGGCCCATCCAAGGAGAACACAGACATGCAGGCACCTTGAAAGCTTCCTAGGAGAATGTCTACAGGTGAGCTATTCGTAACAGCCAAAAGTCTGAATATCAGAGGAGGGCATCCAGTGGAGCCACGCGAGTGAACGCTCTGCAGATAGACCGTGTGGGTGTCACAGACCCGAGTTCACACACATACTGCTCTGTGCACTACCAGTCACACACATTGTGAGATCGCTCTCACACAGTCAAGGCAAGATGGGTGGGAAGTCAAGAGAGAGCTTGGGGTGGGTGAGCAGGACAAGGCACGAGGCCCCAGGGGCTACACCCTGACCTTACTGCTCACACACACCTGCACACTCAGCAGGTGTACCAAGTGCTTTGTGGTGTGTGTTCTCTTTCTGTGGAAGAGGTGACGTCAGGGATGACCCCCCTCAGTGTAGGAAAAGTACTGGCTGATCTAGGGAACTTTAACACTTGAGAAAACGGCATCGTGAAAATCTTGTCATTTCTAGTCTCCTAAGTTCAGTTCACTTCTGTGTGGGCAAAGCTTTGTGTGTGCCAGACATGAGCAATGAACTGGCTATAGCCTCCCCATGGGGTTCTCCTGGGGCTCACCCCTGTAGGGGTGTTAGGGGACAGCCATGGGCACAGCGCTGGCTGAATCTCAGGAGGGAACTGTGCTCTATCAGAATGCCCTGGCCAGGGAGGTGGAGTGGGGCAGAGGGGACCTGGAGCACCACCCTGCCTACACCCTGGGTAAGGTGATACCTTGCACCTGGCACAGGGCGATCTCTTTGCTGTTGTAGGCTGTCCTGTTTTTAAAGGTTGAGAGTGGGCAAAATAGCCATCCAGGGAGAAGGATTGCAATGGCATGGTGATGACACTCTTGGGGGTGGAGATGAGGGATCCTTATGGGGTCCCCTGAGGTGGACCTGCTTCTCTTAAAGTCAGGATCAAGGGGCAGATGCCGTGTGCAGCGTGTGAGTCTGCTGCTTGGGATACTCACGGCCCCTACTGGAGTGTCCAGGAGAAGTGCGGGTTCCCCTTCAGACCTCGGCTTTCTGCTAATGGGCATGCTTCAAGCAGCTCGGTTCCTGCCGTCGGCTGGGAGACCTGGAGGAGGATTCTGGCTCCTGGCTTTGGCCTGGCCCCATCCCAGCTGTTGTGGACATTTGGGAGGGGAACCAGTGAATCTTTTTTCTCTCAAATAAGTAAACAGATGGAAGAGACCCAGAGCAGTGCTGGACTCGGTCATCTTTTCAGGTGCCCCGGGAGGCCCAGTCTGACCTGCGAGGAGGAAGCAGTGTGGGCCTTGGGATTTGAATTCCTATCTGCTGCTTCTGAGAGAGCCCAGTGAGCTTAGGCAAATCTCCTGGAGGCTGCGTCAGTCTCCCTCCCACACCTGGGCACGGGGTGGAGGCAGCTTTGGGTGCTGTTGTGAATGTGGGCTGATGGAGATGCAGCCGGACATCTCCCACGTGCTGAAGATACCACCACTCTCACCTCTCTTGGCAGCCAGCATCCGTGTGTTGAAGGCCACCAAGATCTGCGTGGCAGGCAAGGGCAGCCTCCAGTCTTACAGCTGTGTGCGGTGCAATTACACTGAGGCCTTCCAGAGTCAGACCAGACCCTCGGGGGGTAAGGTAAGCAGTTGGGGGCACATGCCTAAGTGTCTCTGTGTGCAGGAAGTGGGGCTGGTATGCTGAGCGGCCACGAGGGCCGAGCTTGCTGTGGTATGCCCGGTATGGGGACACTGCTCTGCTCTGTGTCATGGCCAAGTCAGCTCCTCTGGTCCATTTCTCCATCAGCAGTAAGGGGAGCTGAACTGAAACTGCATTGTAGCTCAAAACTGTTACACTAACCTGGCTCAGTGAGTGACCCGGGCAGATGGCACACGGGGCCCACTCCCTAGGCGGACCCTGACCATGGAGATGGGCTTCAGGGGAGGAAAGTTGAGCTTGCACCTGAAGGGGGCGCTGTGCTGAAGCAGGGATCCCCACTTTGCTTGCCAGTGGGCGTTCTCCTATGTAGGCTTCCCTGTGGAGCTGAATACACTCTACTTCATCGGGGCCCATAACATCCCCAATGCAAATCCGAATGACGACGGCCCTGCTCTCTCCGTGAACTTCACCTCCCCAGGTAGGCTTGCACCTGCTTCTGCTTCAGACCCTCTCCTGCGTCTGGATCACTTCACCGCTTTGCTCCAGGGGTGACCCATGGTTTGCACCTGCTGGCAAAGGGGTGGAACAGTCACACCTGTCTCTCAAATGTAAAAATCCTGCATTTCCAGGCTGCCTAGACCACATCATGAAATATAAAGAGAAGTGCATCCAGGCAGGTGAGTGAATATGTTTGCTTTTTTGTTTGAAGCTCAGCCCCGTCCCCCTTTTTATGGTGGTGTTAGCTGGGGCCTAATTCGGGGAGTACGGATTCCAGCTGCTCAGAAGACGACTTGACGTGCCCAGGGCTCCAGGGCCCCAGCCGGTGAGTCCAGCGGCCAGAGCAGGGAAGGACTGACTCCGGGAGGTTCACGTGGTGGGGGCAGTGGTCCCAGGGAATGTTACTGACCTGTTGGCCAAAACTCACCCTTGGAGTAGCACCCAGACCCTTCCTGATTGGATGTGAGTCCAGGGAGCCCTTCCACTTGCTCAGGCACCTGCACCCCTGACCCCCAGCCCTGGGGACCTGGAAGCCATTCAAGCCAGGACCTCAGCCCTGCCTCCCACTGGTGTCCACCACGGGGCTTTGCCTCTGGCGTGCTGCACTGCTACACTATCAGAAGCTACTCCCTACTCCTGGGGTATTTTTTCCTTTTAACTGTTAGGTGGAGAGAGACAGACCTAGAGATAGTGGGGGATCTTCCACTCACAGATTCACTCCTCAAAAAGCCAGGAGCGGAGCAGGCCACGTTCAGGAGCACTGAACTCAATCCAGGTCTTTCCCGTGGGTCACAGGGACCCAAGTACCTGCTGCCTCCTGGAAGGCGTGAGCAGGAAAGTGGAAGGGGCAACAGAGCCAACTCCCAAGCCCACCGATTCTAAGAAGGGATCTGGGTGTTCAAAGCCATGGCTTAAACCACCGCCCAAACAGCCACTGTACATCAATTTTTTAAAAACATTTATTTTTATCGGAAAAGCAGATTTACAGAGAGGAGAGACAAAAATCTTCCATACATTGGTTCACTCCCCAAGTGGCCACCATGGCTGGAGCTGAGCCAATACAGTCCAGGGACTTCCTCCAGGTATCCCATGCAGGACGCCTTTGGCCATCCTCTTCTGCTTTTCCTGGTCATAAGCAGGGAGCTGTATGGAAATTGGGCAGCCAGGACACAAATAGGTGCCTATATGGGATCCTGACACTTATAAAGGGAGGATTATCGAATTGAGTCCTCACCCTGGACCCCTGAACGTTAGTTTTTAGTAAGATCCTTTGGGTGGACAACGTCATATGACAAGCTAAGCCACCACGTGAGATGCCTGCATCAGTGGGTGCAGGATTGGCTCCATCTGCACTTCTGACCCAGCTTCCTGCTGATGTACCTGGGACGCAGCAGTGATGGGTCAGGTCCTTGCATCTCTGCCTCCCACACAGGAGAGTCAGATGCAGTTCTGGGCTCCTGGCTTTTAGCTGGGCCCAGCTTGGGCTACGTGGGCATTTGGGAAATTAACCAGAGGATATAAGCTCTCTCTCTCTTTCTGCCTTCCAAGTAAATAAAGTACTATTTCATTGAAAAAAGAAAAAAAAAAAAGGCAGCAGCAGTGGCCCCTTTAGGGTAGTAAACCCTTGGGCCCAGCGTGGTAGCCTAGCAGCTAAAGTTCTCGCCTTGCATGCGCTGGGGTCTCATATGGGCACCAGTTCTAATCCTGACCACCACACTTCCCAACCAGCTCCCTGCTTGTGGCCTGGGAAAGAATGGAAGATGGCCCAAAGCTTTGGGACCCTGCACATGTGCGGGATACCCAGAGGTGGCTCCTGGTTCCTGGCTTCGGATCAGCACAGCTATGGCCATTGTGGCCTCTTGGGCAATAAAACAACAGAAGATCTTCCTCTCTGTATATGTGCCTTCCTAATAAAAAATAAATCTTAAGTGTCTCTACCCCAGAAGGCCCTCGTGTGAGGCCTGTCAGAAAGAACCAACCTGGAACACTACTCCTCCTCTTGACCCTCCCATGGAGCAATCTCAGGGTCCTGATGTCAGTCCTGGACTTCAGCTCCTAACCTGGCCTCCAGGGACCTCCGCATGGGGGAAGTTGACACACATTGTTCTGGCTCCCATTCCTCTCATTTCCCCAGTCCTATCTGCAAGTCACATCCACAAAACCACCACACTCTGCCTTTTCCTGATGGAAGCCACCCTGCCGGGGAATCCTGTAAGCTGCTAGGCGTTGCCGGCTTGCTCCCATCCCATGGAGCAGACCCAGGGGCCTGATGGATGGTCCTCCTGTACCGAGTCCTCCCCTCGGTTTGTCTTGGTGAGGCTCTCACAGGGTCGTAGACAATGGGAGGGGCATGTGGTCTATCCGGGGCCCTCTTTCTGCACTCACAGGAAGCCTGTGGGATCCCAGCATCACTGCCTGCAGGAAGGATGAGAAAACCGTGGAGGTGAACTTCACCACATGCAACTCCACACATGGCAGCAAGTACAGGGTCCTCATCCAACAGGACACGGTGATCGGGTCCTCCACGGTGACGGAGGTACTCACCCTCTTGGGCCTCAAGTCCTGCCCGCAGTCCCCTCTGGGGCGCTACACAGGCTCTTTTGAGGGCGCATAGGGCCTGTCTGTTGTCCAGCTGTACTGGGGCTACTTTGATTTGGCAGATTACAAACGAGTCCCTGTGGGCACCCCAGGCTATGCCACCGGCTATACAGGCTATAACCAGCTGAAGGGAGCCGTTGCACAAGCAGGAAGTGGGACCCTGAGTCCCACCCGCCTGTGGGGTGCCAGGCTGGTGAGGGCAGGGTAGGCTTCTTTACCTCCTCTCACTCCTACTGCCTGTCTCACCCGCCTGCACCAGGGCAGACAGACACGAACATCTGTTGAGATCCCAGTGAGTAAGGAAAGCGACGGAGCTGTGGTTCAGGTAAAGTGGTGTGAGGGGCTGCGGGGAAGGGAGAGACCCAGGGAGACTCCCTCTGCCCCCCTGGTTCAGGGAGAGGCCTTTGAAGGAAACAGCGCTTTCTCCTGCCTGGGGCGCTCCTCTAGCCTCCCAGGGAACTGGTCACTGCTCTCCACATACTCACAAGGCTGAGTGACAGGAGAGACACAGATCTTCCATCTGCTGGTTCCCTCCTCCAACACCTGCAACAGCCAGGGCTGGGCCAGCCTGAAGCCAGGAGCCTAGAACTCCATCCAAGTTTCCCACATGTGTGGCAGCAACCCAATTTTGAATCATTAACTCTTGCTTCCCAAGCACATTTGCAGGGAGCTGGATATGAAGCAGAGCAGTTCTGGCTCAGAACCCTGGGCAGCAGAAGCAGTTTGGGTCTTGTGTCACTGGTTTGTATTTGGGGACTGGGTCCCAGCAGTGTGACCAGAGAAGTGTCCGTGGCAGTGCCCATGGTGGAGGTAGGACTGGAAGGGATGCTTCCATGGGAAGTGGGAAAAACGCTGAGCCACTGCCCCTGCTCTGAGCGTCCTGTCTCCCTGCAGCTGGTCCCGTACTTCCGTACCTGTGGCACCGACTGCATCCGACGCAAAGGAACTGTGGGGCGCTGTCTGCAGCCAGACGTCCCCAATAGTAAGTGCCTGAGAGGCCCAGGACCCGGAAGGCCTGGCACCACTGCCCTCCCTAGTCACTGGGTGGCCGCTAAAGGGTGGGTATGTGTCGGGGGCGGGGGTGTATGCTCAGCTGTGGTGCAAAGAGGACAGTGCTATCCCTGAGAGTCTGTGACCCAGGAAGCCACTCCTGGTCCATTCCCAAGCAGGACAGAGCAGGACAAAGACCAGAGTGCTACCGGCATCCTAGCACCACAGGGCTGGGCTGTGCAAGGAGGGGACTGGGCACCTAAGGGAACAGGCACCTGCCATTCCTGCACCCGTCAGTCTCAGCCACCCCAATCATGCTGAGACTGTGTCCTGGTGCGACCACACAACCACCACTTAGGTGCCAGGTTAGTAAGAGTGGCCCAGAAGACAGGCCTCACCGGTGCCGGAGCAGCACTTTCTGCCTCTTAATGACACAGTAGTCAGTCACTCCTGGATGAACAAATAAGAGAATTCCAGAACTGGCCCAGGTGTGGGGCCCAGAGTTGGACGCTTATTCTTAGAACTCAGCTGCATGACCTGAAGCCACTCCGTGTGCTGACAGCCCCCATCCTCCCTGGTCCTGTGACCACTCCTGTGTCAGCTGCAGACTGGCCTTCAACGTGCGTGCTCTGTGTGGGAAAGCTCACGTAGCCAGAGCGGCGCTAACTGCTCCAAGAACAAATGCTCAGGTGGGAACTCTGGGGACCATGGTGGAAGTGCCAGGAAGCCAGAGAGATTTCAGAGGACTGTTCCCGCCTGCCAGGGCCCCGTGGCCCTTTCGAGAACCAATTCAAAATCTGGGAGAAATGCACACATCGGCAGGCACCTGGAGAGCTTGGTTCTAACTCCTCAAAGCACTGAGGGCAGCAACACTAATTTTCTAGTAGGAAACCCGTGTGGTTGTGTGTTGCCAAAGGTGATGAAGCCCTGTTTCCTGCAGATGGAAGTGTGCTGGAAGGCTGGCTGCCTCTGCTCCTCGTGCTGCTGCTGGCGGCTGTGTGGGTGCTGGTGGCTGGGGTCTACCTACGGTGGACACGTGGTAAGGGCTGGAAGGGTCCCCTGACGAGCTGTCACATTTGAGCAGGGACATTTCCTGATAAAGACAGCATCAGCTTGTCAAGCCGGGTCTAGTGCAAAGTGGCCCCCTAGTGGCCACTGTGGGAATACGCTGGCTGCATAGCAGAGGTTGACGACACATTGCATTTTACCTGTGGTAGACACCCAGGGCTAGTTCCTACTCTTTAGAAACCATCAACTCTTCTAAGGCGTTAAGAGCAGCGTCCACTTGAAGTCATCACTCCCCAGATCTTTGCCAAGTCTCCAATGCCGAGCTGTCTGGGTGCAGAAATCAGGGTATTATTTATATAGATCCACAGCTAGACGTAGGCTTATTAAAACACACACACAAAACCCAAACCACTTCTGTTTCTCTTTTCCATGAAGAAAAGGAAATATACCCATGTTTTTTCAAAGCTAAGAAAGCCACAAGAGACTTTCTCTGCAGGAGTAACTCTTAGGGGAAGCTGTCAGACCTACACTTGTTGGAGGAGTTTGAGTTTCCATGTAGATCCCTGTGGGAGGCAGGACTGGAGTTCCAGGACTGGAATGGGGCACTGCTTACTGTTACTGCACCCCCTGCAGGCAGAAGGTAGTACAGCAGCTACGGGGCCGAGCCCAGTGATGCCACGTGTCTGTTTGCACGGAAAGCACCCGGGGGACCTTAAAGCCCAGCAGTTTCTACCCACATATCTGCTGGGACCAAGCCTCACCGACAGGAGTGACTGTAGGGATAGATGTTTAGACTGTGTTTCCGGCCTCAGCATGCTGAGGGTGGGCACCCGGCAGTGTGGTCAGTGCTGTTGGTCCCCAGGGGCGACTTTGGCTGGGGAGGCTGCAAACTGGTTGGTGCTGGCAAGTTAACAGGTGCTTTTCTGCTCATCCCGACCCCCGAGCAGGCAGGAAGTCAGTGGCTGCACCTCCAGGCACCAGGCCGCTGCCCCTCCTTAAGGTGCTGGTGGTTCACCCGCCGGAAGTGTGTTTCCATCACACAGTCTGTAGCTTCGTCGAGTTTCTCCAGAACCACTGCAGGAGCGAGGTCATCCACGAGAAGTGGCAGCAGAAGAGAGTGGCAGAGGCAGGCCCCGTGCAGTGGCTCGCCACCCAGAAACAAGCCGCCGATAGGGTCATCTTCCTGCTATCCAATGAGGTCAGCGCCCAGTGTGACAGCACCTGCTCCTGGGGTCAGGGCGGCCGGCGGGAGAGCTCGCAGGACCTGTTTCCTCTCGCCTTTAATCTCTTCTGCAGCGACCTCGGGAGCCGGGCTCTCGCACACAAGTACGTGGTGGTCTACTTTGGAGACCCTCATGTGGCAGATGGTTACAGTGCTCTCAGCATCTGCCCCAGGTTCCACCTCATGAAGGATGCGGCTGCTTTGCGTGCAGAACTCCTCCGCGTACAGTGGCAGGTGCCAGTAGGGAACAGGTCTGGAGCCCGTCCCAAGAGCTGCACCCGCCTGTAGCTCACTCAGGAGAAACAGAAATGATTGAACCTCCTGCCCGGGCCCAACGCAGTAGCCTAAGCAGATAAAGTACCTGCCTTGAACGCACCAGGATCCCATATGGGCACTGGTTCTAATCCCAGCAGCCCCATTTCTCATCCAGCTCCCTGCTTGTGGTCTGGGAAAGCCAGAGAAGACGGCCCAAAGCCTTGGGACCTGCACCTATGTGGGAGACCTGGAAGAAGTTCCTGGCTTCAGATTGGCTCAGCTCCAGCCATTGTGGTCACTTGGGGAGTGAATAATTGGACAAAAGATCTTCCTCTCTGTCTCTCCTCCTCTGTGTATCTCTGACTTTGCAACAAAATAAAAATAAATGAATCTTAAAAAAACAAACAAACAAAAAAAAAAACCTCCTCATCCCCACCAGCTCCAGCGACAGAAGCAGCTCTGATGAGTTTCCTCACACTAGTTATACCTGCTTCATGGTAGTAACAGAGGAGTCCAGACTGACCAATAAAACCTACCAATATTACCACATACTGTAGTGCTAACGAGAGAACTATAACTATAATTGTAAGGGAAAAAAAATCAATCCTTTTCTCAAAAATCAAGCATAATTCTAACTGGACATGGCATGGTGATACAGCACGTTACGCCGTCACCCGCAGCAGCATCCCACGTCCCACTTTTGATCCACTTCCTGCTAATGCGTCAGAGAGCAAGCAGATGGCCCGGGGACCTGGGTCCCTGCCGCCCCCATGGGAACCCATATGGACTTCAGACTCTGGCTCGGCCTGGCCCAGCCCAGCTCAATCTGCTGCAGCCATCTGGAGAGTGAAGCACTTAATGGAAGAGATCTGTAACTTTCAAATAAATGCATAAATAAATAAATCCTTAAAAACAGTTCCTAACAGCATCTTATCACAGCTGTGTTCTAGAAGGCTCACCGCATGCGGTGCGATGAGGACCTGCTCTAGCCTGGCGGTGTCGGATGGGACGTGTAAGATACACGTGTGTGCACATCTCCCCGAGAGTCTCGTCGCTGCATCCTAGGGATAAACACCCGATCTACTCACTGCGGGCAGTCTGACAGCGGGTGCTTAGTGAGGGCTGAGGCGGTGTGTCTGGGGTGGCCAGGCGCACTTCCTGTCCCGGTCAGCTCTCCTGGCGCTCCCTTGCAGACACAGCTTGCCATCAGAAGCTGGACCAGAAGCCAGCTTCCTCTGGGGAGCTACCACACACATCCTGGATCTGCATGCTGCGGCCAACACTGTGTTGTGCCCAGCAGTCAGCACTGTGCATGTTTATTGTGTGGAGAAAACAAGAGCACATACAACTTCCAAGCTGAGGCACACTTCCCAACACACAAGTGGAAACGACTTTCCTCTCCGACGACTCTTGGTGCCTCACCTCCTTGGCGGTCACAAAGGTCGCTGCTGTTTACGCCAGCATTCCTCCCTGTCCTCGCGTACCCATGTTCCACTCCTCTGTCTCTTCTCCCACCCTACTTCTGTCATCTCCCCCATCTCAGTCTAAGTAAGGTGCTGGAGGCAGCAGGTGGGAGCCTCAGAGGGCGCTAGGGGCTAGAGCCACGGGTGATCAGCTGTGTTCTGTGTTCTGTTTCACGATGCACACAGCTTAGGCCAGCTGACCACAGAACATCAGCTCCACGGTAACGGGCCTGCAGGTAGAAAGAAGCTGGGGGCAGGGTGGCAAAGACAGCAGCTCCAGCAGCCACTGTCCGTGTAATGCAAGCAGTCAACTCTGCATGAGACCCGAGTCACTATTTGGCTTTGGAAAAAAAACCAAGACTTCACTTCCAGCTTCTGTATTGTTTTGGTCAATAACAGTTTTCATGTCATTAACCTATCCCATGTCTGGTAGCAAAAGCCAGCCCCAGGCTTGAATCTCTGTGACTGGAAACCTAGCCCTGAAGGGTCCCAATCCCTTGCAATACAACAAAAACAGAAAAACCAGACTCTTCTCCTGTTTAGAATTCTGAGGGCTCACGTCACGCTAGCTCAGGCGACAGAGCCTCCAGCTGTTCTGCTGGGCAGAGGGGAGGGGGCCTGCCCAGTCCTCAGGGCACGGCCGTGTCCTGCTGCCTGCGGCTGCCATGCTTGCAGCTCCGCTGGCAGGAGGGGCTGGCCTGCATCAGGGGCTTGTCCAGCAGCACAGGCTCCTGTGAGGGCAGGAGGCTTCTCCTGAGGAATACATTCCTATTCATTCTGAAACACCGACTTCAGAAACAGCTTATGATTGCAGACCAACGACTGTGTCGTTGCTGTGAAGTTGAGCATCTCAGTCAATAAATTAGAGTCCCCACCTTCCGTGAGAGTCCTTCACACTGAGGGCCTCGTCTCCGGCCTTGGCCAGGGCCGATGCCATCCCATGTCACCACACAAACGCAGCCCGCTCTCGCAGCATGCGGACTCCGAAGCGCTGCCACTCCCGCTGATAGACCCACAGCTCCTGCGTGGTGTCCAGACAGGCCAGCACTGCGCCCCCTTTCCAGGCAATCAGCCGGGGGTCCAGGTCCTGGAAGAGTGGGGGCATTTCAGCAGGAGTACCATGTTAAACACCTACACATGTGCTTTCATTTGGGAGCTGAGAAACCCCACCTGAGTAACACCCCATAAACCAGGCTTTCCACCTGCACTAAACGCAGCTGATCTGTCAGAGTAAGAGCACCATTCTGTTTCAACTGACAAGAGAATGCTCGCTCGCTCTACTCTCACGAGTGCAGGCACTTCTGTTCACTGGCCGCACAGGCAGGCACACACACACACACAAAGGAACCATCTGAAGTCTGGGTGCACTGGGTTAACACCTCTCTCTCTTCCCTGTGATTAAAATAAGGACACATTCTGGAACGGTCAGTGAAATGTCTCCTAAAACCCTCAGCTTATGTTTCCGAGATCATTTGAGCCAAAAGATCTCAACAGGCTGTCAGGGCGTGAGCAGGCCCTGCTTGTCCTGTCCCGCCTAGTCCCCTTACAGAGGCAGCAGGCAGGCATGCTGGTTTGGCAGGAATGGGAGGGACAGACCAGGAGCCCAGTCTCCTGACCAAACCTGCTCCAAGCCAGCAAAACTGTGCCTCCCAGACCACTGTGTCCACATAGACAGGCGACTTGACAACGTGGAACAAGCGATGCTGGCTCCGTGTGCATGCACTCCATGGGAAAACGTACCTTAGGCCTTGTGATCACGTCCACATTTTCAATGATGCGCCTGAAGGAAGGTGGCATCTTGTTGAGAATCCTGTGCTGCAGGAATTCTTGAGCTTTATGGAACATCAGGCCACCTCCCACAACCAGGATGGAGCTGTACATCTTCTTCTTGGTGTCGTCGGATGCTGGAAAGAGAACGACACCCCTTCCATCCGTGCTGCCTCCCCACGCCCAGTTCTACTCCAGGCCAAACCGCTGTCCTCTCGTTTGCACAACTGCATGAGGCTTTGCAAAGTCCCCACAAGCAGTCCCAACACCCAGCCGGGAACTTCAAGGAACACAGCATCAGGGTGCTGTCCCCCACCCCTCCCCAAACTCCTCACCCCGTGGCTTACAGCACAAGGACCATGATCTTTCAAGGGGACCCAAAATGTCTAGTTGGAGTGGTTCTCACTAGCCATCCCAGGTTTCCCCTCTCCTGGAATGCCACCATCTGTGACTGCTGAGCCCCTGCTCCATCCCTGAGGTCTTCCTCAAGGGGCCTCCCGGCCTCCGAGGCACACTTACAGCAGCAGTCTATGCTGTGCAGGATGGCTTTGTCGAGCCCCAAGGCCTTCCCTTCAAACAGCGAGACAGCCGTCTTCCTGGACATCAGTGCTGTGAGGGCCTCCTCGGAGTCATTGCCGGCCATCAGGCAGTCTCCCTGGGAGGAGCCCAAGTCCACCTCCTGGGAGTGAAGCCTCTCCGGAAGCTCAGAGGCCGGCCCACGAAGATCCCCTTCAAATCCGATGGGTTTGGAGGCAGACTTGCGGTCAGCAGTAGCTTTCGCTGACTTGAAATCAAGCAGAGGACAGTGAGCATGCTGGGGAGGATGCTGGCGAGATCCCACCCTCCACACCTCGTTCTACCACTACAGAGCAGAAGCCGCCACAGCACAGCAAACGCCTAAACCACTCCCAGGGAGGCCTGGCACCAGGGTGGGCAGCAGGCATCCTTACCATCTCTGGTTGGGTTAAGTGGAAACATGCCAAGGGACAGATTCCCTACCCTTACACTGAGCTGTTAAGAACATGCTACGGAATCCTCATCTTTAACTCCTCTCTCTCTGCCTCACACCTGTCTCTGGCCGGCAGCCTTTGTCTACCTCTGTCATGACACACAGGAGCTGCGTTTGTGCCGTGGGTGCCACACCGCCTGCTACAACAGCTAGCTCCGAAGAAAGGAATTCAGATCTGTGCTCATGCCACACATACGTCACACTGTAATTACAAAACAGCTGAGATCTTACAGAAAGTCCTAGCACGTACTCACAGGCTGAAAACAAGTCATTTATCACCTAAAAGGAAAGCGCCTCCATTCACCTGGGCGTGAGGTGGTATTCAGAAAGCTGGATTGCTGCCTCCCTAAGATGAAATCTGTCACCCAGATTTGGCTTCAGAACAGCTCTACACACAGGGCCAGGCAGAAGAGTGCAGTGCCGGCGGCGATCTGCTCACTTAGGGCAAACCTCTCCCACAAGGCCCGGTGCTGCTGCGAACCTGTTCTTGCTTGCTCTGCGTGGCCAGCAGGTAGTGTTCGTCATGAGGGTCCTCAGGGTCGCCCTGGGACCTGTGCTGCAAGGTCGTCATCTTCTGTCCAACGATTCCAAACGTCGCCGGGTAAAACAAAGCCATCGGTGCCTGCACAGGGAACAGTCATCAGCAAGGCGCTCCTCCAGCAAACACGCCCACTGAGTCACGTCCCGCCAACACCCAGGGGGCCGCCGGGAGCCTCGGAGTCACAGTGGGCAACGCTCAGCTCTGGGAGGGGCACCCTCCTCCACCGCTTCAGGACGCAAAGGACCCGAACACTCTTCAGTACCCCACTAAAGGGGTAATGTGGCAGCCCGCGAGCAAAGTCTGTCTCTGTAATTCCCTAAGAAGGTTGCCACTCTGCAACAAACCTCACAGAGTGGCCGATGGGGACAGTCCCCGCTTTGTCCTCACTACTCCCGCAGCAGGGCCACCTGCTGGTTTAGCGGCTTTGACCGTGTAAGGCATCCAGCCAGTGCGCATTCTCGTGGTCAGACTCTTCCACAACGGCCTTTTTCCGCCCCCTGGGAATGACCTGTGCCTTACCTGGAGCTTCTCGTCTCCTAACCGAAACTGGTAAAGCAGAGCAGGAGAATCCGGATGTCGGATCTGGAACTCGTGGTCCTGAAGTCCCGAGATGTCCTGATGGCGGGCATGACGACACCATCAATGGGTCAGTAACAACCACCACGGGCTCTCATTCCTCTGAGAGGCCCCTGCACTGGGGACCACTCTCCCACAACCTACCAGAAGGAGGGCTCAGGTGTGCTCTGATTCCCAACTTAACATGCATGAACAGAAAGTGATCTGAACTGACGAGCAAATTCCCTCAATAACTGGGAAAGTTACAGTTATCAGTTCTCGAAATACAAATACACATACAGTATCTGAAAAATAGTGCAAAACCATAGAAGTGGTACTGTGCACACTGCATCGACTAGCTGTGGGGAAGGCGTGTGAGGCGAGGTTGGGATGCCCCCATCCGGCCTGCTCCCACTCCAGCTTCCTGCTAACGAGTACCCCAGGAGGCAGCAGTGATGACTCCAAGTAAGTGGGCCACTGCCTGCACTGCAGAGAACCTAAACTGAATCCTCCGCTCCTGGCCTCAGCCCTGGCCCAGCCCTTGCTGCTACAGGCACCTGGAGGGTGAACCCGTGGATGGGGCTCCGTCTCTCAAATAAATGAAAAGAGAAACAAAGTCATGTCCCCTGGTGCCTGCGACACACCCGCTGCCTGGACCCATTCAGAGCCCCAGCCTGAGGCCCATCGGCGGGGGTCGAAAGGATGTCACCGTGTTCAGTGTCTCACTTTCCTTTTCTGTTGCTGCCGGCTTTCCTTTTCTGAGTTTTGTTCATTTCAGTGTCACACTTTTGCTATCTTTCATGCTTTATGTTTTTTTTTGCAGAACCGTGCAGCATGCAGTCGCACATACCTGATCTAAGTGGCAAAAGGTCTCCTTGAGGTGCTGCAGGAGGAGGCAGTCCATCTTATTGGTCAGCTGGCACTCTCTGTAAGGGAAGCCGGCCCGCTGCATGAGCCAGTAGAAACAGCGCGACACGTCAGAGCCTCCATACGCCAGGCAGAGTCTAGGGCGGAGAGTGGAGGATGTGCAGATTAGCTGTCAGCCAAGAAGGTACAGGGAGACCCCACACCCCACAAGGCCTGGGGAAACACAGCAGGTTTTCAGAAATGCCAGTCCTAGGATGCACGAGGGCAGGGAAGCGGGCACACACCCAGACCCCATGGCTGGGCTCCGGCTGGCAGTCACACTGTCACCAGCACACACACTAGGAGATCAGTGTAGCACCAAGCCCACACGTAGGAGATCTGAGTCTAGAATTTTCTTCACATTTTGGAAGTCCCTGCAACGACATACTCTGAGCAATGTGCGAGTCAAAACTCAGTGAGAATACATTTTAACGGGGGGACATGCAGCAGCTTAACGTTTCTTACAAACTACTCGGGTCCTCTTTCAAGCCTGCCTCCATGGCCTCTATGTCCTTAACTCAGGGGCCACGGAGGAGCCATCTCAGCAAAGAACCCAAGTGAGACCTCCTCCATGTGCCCCCCGGTGCCAGGCTTGCCTGAGGGAAGGTGAGCAGTGGCCTCGTGACCTCGTGTCTTAGTGAAGTCACTGCCCACTCAGTGAGCTCCAGTGCCAAGATAAGCAGACACTGCAGACCCTGAGGACACTGTGGACACAAGACAGCCAGAGAATGCAGATCTCAACAGTCTATTTCCTCGCACACGCCTCGCCTCAGCTCTGCAGAGAGCAAGTGAGTGACCGGGTGAGTCTCCCTCCTCAAGCACGAGGAAAGACACCCTCAAAGCACAGCCCGCATTTGTGCTTCCTCTGTGGGAAAGCATGTGACACTGCCCGGGATTTTCGGGAGGTGCTGGCGTGAACTTGCACGACAAAGCTACGGTGTGAAGGGTGCATCATCTGCTTTCAGCTTTGCTGAGGTCTGCACCTCCACCACCTTGCTGCATCACGATGCAGATGCTGAACACGCCCTTCCTTCTGAGTCATCTCTGACTCCTGAGGACGCACAGCTTGAGCAGGCTTGGAGGAGCAGGAGTGGGAAGGGCCGTGGTTCGTACCGAGTGTTGCGATGGGACACCCCGTCCTCCACACAGCACACACTTGTCTTCTGGTCCCCAACATCTACGATACATGTGCTGCTTAAGCCACTCCCAAAGGTGGCACACACTGACTCCTGATGAACCACAATCCCTGAAAAACAGAGGGCAGTCAGCTGTGGAACAAGAAAGACCTCACCAAGCAGTGCTGACCCTCTTGGAGCTAGCATTTACACAGCAATGTACCAGAAGGACTTGGCCAGTGACAATTAGTTCAGTTAGAGCAGGTGCCTCTGGAACAGCAGACATACCTGAAAACCCCATCTTCATCAGTATCATATTCACCAATTCTTTCACATGTTGCTTATTGTAGATATCGGGAATTAACAAAATACAACGATAATACTGAAACAGGGAAAAAATGGCAAAGGGTTAGCACTCCAAGTCTGATCATGTCAAACTTTGTCATACTCGATCTATTTATTTACCTGAAAGGCAAAGTAACACAGAGGAGGGCAGACAGAGGGACAGACTGTCCACCTCCTGGCTCAATCCTCCACAAGCCACGTCAGAGCCAGCCAGCTCCGATCTCAACCAGAGGCTCACAGAACGCTGGGTCAGCCGAGGGCATCCAGGGCCTGAACCAGCACTCTGATACGGGATGCTGGCATCGCAAGTAGGGGCTTAACCCGCACACTACAGCCAGTGTCTAACCACACTTGTCTTTACTTGAGAGGGAGAGAAACAAAGAGAAAGAGAGAAAGCGCCTCCACCTTCCGGTTCATTTCCCTAATGCTTACAACAGGAAAAGTGAGTCAGGCTGAGCCAGGAGCCTGGAACTCCATTCGGTGTCTCACGTGGGAGGCAGGAACCCAAGGACCTAAGCCATCAGCTGCTGCCTTCACAGGACGCGCAGCAGTAGGAAGCAGGATTCAGAGTGGAGCGAACGGGACCCGGACACTCTGCACATCCAGCCGCACCCGTGTCCTTACAGAGGACTCCTGGGAAGGTAAGCGGTGATGCTCAGAGGCCCAGGGTAGGAGCCCACATCTCTCCGCTGCCCTTGTGATCGACAAGGAAGCAGAAAATGCAGAAACTGTTTCCCCTTGGAAGCATCTGCAAGTTGTAAAATAAAAATATGAGACGACTGACAGGTCTGTGTAAAGCCCAGAGAAAAGGCAAGAGCAAGAACAAGCTTGCTGACCTCAAACCAGGAGACAAAGAAACAGTAAGTTATCTCCTTAGAACTGTACTAGGATGGGCCCAGCGTGGTAGCCTAGTGGCTAAGGTCCTTGCCTTGCATGTGCTGGGATCCCATATGGGCACTGGTCCTAATCCCAGCAGCCCTGCTTCCCATCCAGCTTCCTGCTCGTGGCCTGGGAAAGCAGTCGAGGACAGCCCAAAGCCTTGGGACCCTGTACCCGCATGAGAAACTGGGAGGGGGGCTCCAGGCTCCTGGCTTCAGATCAGCACAGCTCTGGCAGTTGCAACTGCTTGGGGAGGGAATCAACGGATGGAAGATCTTCCTGTTTGTATATCTGATATTCCAATTAAAAAACAAAAAGTACTGTACTAGGAATTACATGAAATCTGTTCTTTGTATATTAATAAAGATTAAAAGACCCAGTACAAAGAACACCAGGAACAAGTTCAGTGAAGACAGCCCCAAACCTGGAGTCCCAGAGCTTCTGGAACACTGCGTTATAAACCACTCCGTGATGCCTTTTGGTGCCAACCAAGAATCTCTAGGAAAAAACAAGTAACTAAGATTTTTAGCTCACCTTTAAATCTTTCAGCGGGATTTCCAAGTATTTCTGAATTGCGTGCGACCATATGACTTCGATATCTGCCAGGACAGCTGTGAGGGAGCCCCCGGGGCCGGGGTGGATGTTGAGCTGCCCTCGCCGGATGGGCCAGTGAATGTTGTAGCAGTCCAGCGGGTTGACGTACAAGGCCTGGAAAGAGCAGCGGAGCATGAGCACAGAACTCGTCTCCAGGGGCTCCCTGGATTTCCAACACTCCAAGGCCAGCAACGGTCACTGCCCCGGCTGCCTGTTCGGAAGGCTCAGAGGGCAACTCCTGTCTGGTCCTCAGAGCAGAACCACAGCATTCTGGGAAACCACCAGCCGTGTGTGTGTGTGTGTGTGTGTGCGCGTGTGTGTGTGTGTGTGCGCGCGCGCGTGTGTGTGTGTGTGTGTGTCACTACATAAGAGAAGTTTAGTAAGGTTGTGTGTTTGTCTCCTATTCTTCTGATTCCCGGAAAGAGGTTTCCTACCTCCTCTCCCACCAAATACTCAGGGTGATGAGACGTATTTGTCCACTTGTTTCCAGAACAGTGATCTAAAATCGCAGGTCGCATCTGCTTATTGTAGGAGCGTGCCTGAAAAGAAAGAAAACTGTGAACTTAGCATACACAAGGAAAAGGAAGAGAGAGGTAGAAGAGTTCCCCTTTCTTCTCTCTCCCAGACATCAAGAACAATGGCAAATTTTAACCTTAAAGCCAAGAAATTTAGCAATATACTGCCTGGCCACAAAAGGATTCTCTTGTCTTCTTCCACAATATTTAAAAAAAAAAAAAAAAAAAAAAAAACCAGGGTCCAGTGTGGTAGCCTAGCGGCTACAGTCCTCTCCTTGTACCTGCCGGGATCCCATAGGGCCGCTGGTTCTAATCCCGGTAGCCCCGCTTCCCATCCAGCTTCCTGCTTGTGGCCTGAAAAAGCAACTGAAGATGGCCCAAAGTTTTGGGACCCTGCACCTGCGTTGAAGACCTGGAAGAGGCTCCTATCTCCAGGATTTGGATCGGCTAAGTTCCAGCCATTGTGGCCGCTTGGGGAGTGAATCATCGGACGGAAGATCATCTTCCTTGACTTTCCTCCTCTCTATATATCTGACTTTCCAATAAAAATAAATAAATCTTAAAAAGCAAACAAACAAAAAACACTATTTGGGGTCAGCATGGTGGTACGGCAGACTACCCCTTCACCTGCAGTGGCAACATCCTACATTGGCGCCAGTTCATGTCTCGGCTGCTCCATTCTGGTCCAGCTTCCTGCTTGCGGGAAAACAGCAGAAATGGCCCAAAACCTTGGGACACTGTACCTGTGTAGGAGACCTGGAGGAGGCTCACGGTTTCCAGCTACAGATCGGCCCAACTGTGGCTGTTACAGCTATTTTGGGAGTGAACCAGTGGATGGCAGATACATCTATCCCTCTCTCTAACTCTCTCAAGTAAAACAAATATATCTTTTTATTTTTGAAGATGTGGCTCTCAAATTTAAATTTTAAAAGTTTATTTTACATTTTAGAGACAGAGAGACAGGGAGAGAACCAAAGAGCGAGTTCTTCTTCCCACTGGCTCACTCCCTGATGGTGCCTTCAGCCAAGGCTGCGCCTGCTGAGCCAGGAGCCAGGAGCCAGGAGCTTCTGCCAAGTCTGACTCGTGGGTAACAGAGAACCAAGCACTTGGGCCATCTTCCACTACTTTCCCGAGTACATTAGCAGTGAACTAGCTCAGAAGCAGAGCAGCTGGATTCAAACTACTACTCAGATGGGATACTAGTGCAACAGGCAACAACTTAACCCTCTGTGCCACAACGCTGGCCACCACAGACTTCATTCTTTTTCTTTTCTTTAAAGATTTATTTATTTGAAAATCTGAGTGACAGAAATCTTCCATTCACTGGTTTACCTCCCAAGTGCAAGCAACAGCCCAGGACTGGATTAAACTGAAGTCAGGAGCCAGGAACTCCATCTGGGTCTCCCACAGGGTGGCAGGAAGCAAGGTGTGGAGCCATCATCTGCTGCCGTCCAGGCCTTTTAGTAGCAAACTGGGTAAGAAACTAAGGCAGGACTCAAATCTAGGTACTCTAATAAGAGATGTGAAGTCCCAGGGAGCAGTTTTACTTGCTGAACCACAACAACCAACCCAACAATTTAATTCTCCTTCCTCACCCTCCATCTCTAGGCTGTGATTCACTGTCTTCTGCTTAAATGTGAATACAAGTGTGTGTATAAGACAAACTCATCATCTCTGCCTCGGTTTATTAAAGAACTCAGTAACTACACAGCTTCCCACCAAGATTCTGAAATGAGACACTCAGGCCGCCTTGAGAACAACATCTGGTAAATTCTTTGGCTTGCCCAAGCACCTGTGACACGGCTTCAGGCATCCTCTAAGTGGTTATGGGTTTTTGTTTCTTCCACATGAAGAAATCCCACACCGCATTTGTGTAACAATGCAGGAAGAACACATGAATGTTAGTGGCTGTAACCACACAGGGGATGAAATACATAGAAGAAAAAGTTAACCGAACCTGTTCAGGGGACACCGGGATCCGCCTGGTACCATTGGACATTTTTTTAGACCATATTGCTTGATCCACCATCTTAAGGCCATTCTGTCTTTGTTCATTACTTTCAGGTTTCTGGATGGGAAAATGAAAGATCAACAATGAGAAGAAATTAGTAAAAAAGAAAGCAATATGACAAACCCATACCCAAGTGAGTCCACCATTAGGGAACATTCCACTATCAATAAGCAGCACCTCCTTAACCTGCCATTTGCAGAAATCTTAGTCAAAAAGGACCCCTTGTCATAAACCACGCTATTTGTAAAGATCCATAACTTCACATGACCCGTGATAAAATTTTCCAAGGCATTCATCAAAACACACTTTATCCAATCTTTACAAAGTATTACAGAGACTCTTCTGTAAACTTCAATAATTCACATGTTGACAATGTAACAATGTCACATCCCTGCAAACAGTGTTTTGATTAATCAGCGATTGCATTATTGCAATAATCTCACCACTGATACCATTCAGAGCATATTCACAAGTACTTTTACAGAAATGTCATTTTCTTTCAGCTTTTACTTCCTCAAATTTGCTCCCTCAAGGGAGAAATCTGAAACACTTCTGATGGACTATTTCGAAGTCATTCTAACCAAGAATAATCAACCTGTATTGGAAGTACAAAACAGGTAACTACCGGAAACATCTCTAACTGAAAACACAAAGTCAAAAGTAGGTTATTGTGCGGTTCACAGAGTTAAGATCTAACGCACACACACAACTTCCTGATAACAACCATTTGCAAACAGGATAAAGATGTATTTTTTGCCTTGAAATTATAGTTAGATACAAGCAATTCAACTTACTAACAGATTAAAAACATAAACTAAATTTATAGTTATACGCAAGAGAAAATGTGTTTCAGATCCAAACAGCCAATATGTCTGGTGATGGGCAGATCGCCCCATGATGAGCTGCCTCCCCATGACAGATCACCTTCACCAACACTCCCCTCACCCCGATGGCTTCAAACACAGCGGGCTTATAGTTGTTAGAAAAAAAAAAATCTGTACCATCTGAACTCACTAGTTCAGCTGAAAAGCTAGACTTGGGACTCTGAGTAAAGTTATTTTCAAACACAATGAAGTTAGGAGGATGCAGGCCCCAGCTGCCCGGCACACCGAGTGCCCGCACCCTCCCGCGACCTCCCCTCCAGCCTGCCAGCCCTGACCTACATTGAGTCCCTCCCGGAGGAGCCAGTTGTCCCTGTAGAGCGGCTGTCCCTGCTGCTTGTGTCTTCGGGCGATAACATGGGGAACGCTGGCAGGCAGCGTGTCCGTGGCCCGGCCAATCCTTAAAGTCGTCGAACCTGGGTGTATGACAACAATGAAGTTGCTCTGGATTTGCTGCAAATATAAAACATAAAATAGTCAACGCACAGGGAGCAAGTGAAGTAGAGCATCCTAACACAGTACACGGCAAAGTTACTCCCCTGCAACAGCTATCAGACTCAAAGGTATCCAAAGGTATTGAAACTCATTCTGGATCTCCCATGTGCCTTCCATCTGACACACAGCTCAACTGGTATCTGTTTAAATGCACAAAACCAGATATTTGCCTTCCGGAATAAAACCAAGATAATCCAGTGTAAATTCACATATACTTATTGAGCATTGACAAGCCAGGTGATCGGGACAAAGTCCCTGCTATTGGACAATTTTCTGTTTACCAAGGAAGACAGTCAAACAAGAGATAAGGGAGAGGAAAGGATACTAATGTCCCAGATTCTGCAAATAGAAACCAACTTAAAAGACAGCTGTTAGAAGGTCAGAAAACTGAAACCCCGGAGAGAGAGCACACGAGCTAGCAGCTCCAGTGACTCCTGAGGCTGACCAGCCAGACTGGCCAGGGGGCCAGAGACAAGACGGTCACATCATGCCGCGGCAGGTGCCACGTCATGTCACAGCAGTTTGGCTACTCTGGAATGGTGCACACTGTGGCTTTCCATGCCAACCGCTGCAAACTGTGCTCCTGAGCCCTCAGAGCTCTACAACACTCTGCCGTGCTGCTTCTGTGCTGCCTGCCTGATCCAGCCAGAGCACGGAGTTCTAACTCTGCCAGTCAGAAATCTGCGCTGCATGTCACAACCCCCTCGTGGGAGATGAACGGCTAAAGAGGAGGCACAAAGCCGGGACAGCGGGGAGACGCATGACGACAGGTGCAACTTGCACCTGACTGCTCTAACTCCGTGAGCCGCTGGAGGGAAGCTTTCCTGCATCAGCGCCAAGAACACCCAGAGTTTCCACCAGAAGCAGGGGAAGGGCCTCTGGCACCGCCTTTCCCAAGGGCCCCCCTGCAAGCAGCACGATTCAGCCCTAATTCACAGCCCCTATGCTAGCCACCCTGTCCCAGAGACAGCTGCGAAATCTTGTGTAAACAGAGAGGTTCCCAGCAGCCCCTCACCCCCACACAGCCCAGCGTCAGGAGCACTTCCGCCAGGTCAGTCTCTTTAATGCGTTCCACCCAGACTCCTGTGACTTGGGGCTGTGCTGCCTTTGCAGCCTTCACACAAATGACCTCGCTCTGCCCGCAGTGTCTCGCTGCTGTCATCTAGGTTCCCCGCTCTCAGGACAGGGTCATTCTTGTTACTGCCTACCCGCCCAGCGAGAAGGGACCACTCCTCTGGTATTCAAGCTCTAACCCAGCAGCAGGCAGACACCTGGCAAGGTGTCCCCACAGGGTACTGCCCAAGCTTTTCTGAGCTCTGGCAGACCTTCACCCAACAGATGGGTACACAGATGACGCCGCTCCCCTCTAGAAGGGCTACGGCACACAGAGCAGCTTGGTGGGAACCATGATCTCCAAAAGCATCTAACACTCTCAGGGCCAACGCTGTGGTGCAACTCGTTAAACTTCCGCCTACAGCATCAACATCCCAAACCGGATCGAACCCCAGCTGTTCCAGTTCTGATCCAGCTCCCTACTAATGGCCTGGGGAAGCAGCAGAGGATGGCCCAAATCCCTGGGCACCCACGTGGCAGACCCTGGCTTCTTGTTTCAGACCTAGCCTGCTCTGGACATTGTGGCTATTTGGGAAGTAAATCGGTGAATGGAAGATCTCTCTCTCTCTCTGTCCTCTCTGTAAAATTGACCTTTTAAATAAAAGTAAATCTCTTTTAAAAAAAGTATTGAGATACGAGTGTGGCAAGGTAGAGGATTAGCCAGTTGAGCTATCATGCCAGCCCCCCCCCAAAAAAGTATTGAGCAAAGACAAACACTGTTGCCACAGAAGCTAAGAAAAAAACTGACCAACTGAGATTAAGCAAATGGTTCCACCTGGTTATGGCCCAGGCTCCCGACGGACAAAGCGGGTTAGGAACTTGGACCACCGGGCTCCTTGCTGGGGACGGAGTGAGTTCCTCACACAGCGCTGCCAGCACTCGGGAGCACCAGCTCTTCACACCTAAGCCTTCCACGTTTGCCTACTGCTTTCCCAAAGGGCCAGTTGTTGGCTTCCTGAACTCTTGCCACCTGGCCCTGCAAGCCCCCCCAGGCTTCTTCCTCAATTCCAGACACCTGGGCCAGCCGCCGTGCCTCCAACACTCCACGTCCTCTCTCCAGCCCAGTTTCTCCCATGCTCTCCTCCCTCCCTGCTACTGGCCGCAGTGCCCCTCTGGCGGAGTCCACCACCCGGCCCACGCAGCAGCAGCGACCTCGAGCCAGGTACTGGACTGGGCACTCTACCGCTGCCCTCCAGGCCGGCTAGGAGCCTCAGCCCACTCCAAGGCCAGGCAGCTGGCTCAGAGCTGCGGGACACGGGCAGCTGACAACTCCCATGACCGCCTGAGCCACATTTTCCAAGGGAGATCCAAGCTCCCTAAACACCCGCGAGAGTGCATCTATTCCTACGGTCGTCTGCCTGCCGCCGGGTTACTGCAAATGTTCTTCCCGGTCGGTTTAAATCGAATCTCGGCTGTTACGCACGAAATAAGCGACCTCTGCTCTCTGAGACGTCCACGACAAAAAGGAAAAGTTCCACTCTTCCTCAGCCACCCCTGAGCATCCCTCGGCTGCCTGAGGGCGGGCCGGGCTCGCAGCTCCCTCTGCGGCCACCGAAACCTCCAGCAGCAGCCCCGGGTCCGGAGCCCAGAGGCCGGGAGGAGCTCACAGATCCGGCCGCAGGGCCACGACCACCCCACCCCACGCGACCCCGCCGCGGCCCGCAAGCCGAGGACCCACACCAAGGCGCGGGGACCCCAACCCAGACCCGGAACCCCACCTCCTGCAGCGACTCGGGCACCAGCGCCGGCACGATGGGCCGCTTCACGCCGCGCTGCTCCTTCTCCTTCTCCCCGCCTTTCTCCTTCCCGTTCTCCGCGTCGCCCTTCTCGGCCTGGGTCATGGTGGTCGCCGACGCAGAACTACTCTCTCAACTCTGTGCCGCCACAGCCGCGACAGCTTGGGCGGAAGAGCCATTGCGCAGGCGCAGCCTTGCGACCGTCAGCCCACAACCAAGATGGCCGCCGCGGAGTCGGCGCAGAGACTTCTGGGAAGCGGCAAGGGCGGGGCGGTGCTGCTGTGATTGGTCGGGACTGGAGGACCGCAGCGACTGGTGGACAGCGTCTTCTTGCAGACCCTTGGGGCTGGGACTCATAGCAAGCCTGAGGCTCCGCCGGCCGCGCTGTCCTGCCTCTGACGCTGGGGTGCTTGGGCCGACTTCGTGCAGTCTCTAGGCTGGCCCGGTCCTGACGAGGAAACGCCTATTGGGTGTCTATTCTCGGATGTGCAAGCTCCAAGCTGTCCCAGAATGGGATTCTTGCATCCCCCTCCCCCAGGAAATGTCATTTTGCTGATTCGGTTGTTGAGGTTACACATCCAATCAGCAGCGGCAAATCCTGCCGTGTCACCCACGTCCTCATCCCTACTGCCCCCTGACCCTCCATGCCTAGCTTCCTGAAGGGGACTAAGTTATCTCAGCTCTGGTAGATGGCGAGCAAACATTTTTTTCTTTTAAAATTAGGTACTGCTGAGGGAAGAGCTCTTTTCAAAGAGCAGGAAATCCCCGTTTTTACAAACAAGGAAACTGGGATAACATAATTTACTCTAGGAAGAGCTGCTGGGTAGCAAACACTGAACACGTTACCCCAGGCGATGCTGGGCGAAGCAGGAGCCTGCCGGTCAGGTTCTGATGGGGACAGCTAAAGGTGAAATGCTGGGGGTTACATGCCATGTGGGTGTGTGGCCCATTGTGTTGGGTGTGGCTCTATCAACACTGATAATTCTCTTTGATAAAGAATCATGGGGAATGTATCTTAAAAGGGGACTGGTACGATGGTGCAGTGGTGAGCTAATCTTTTGTCTGTGGTGCCAGTATCCCACGTGGGCTGGTGTAAGCCCTGTCTGTGTTAATTCCTGTCCAGCTGTCTTCTAATGGCTGGGCACCACAGCAGAGGATGGCCTGAGCGCTCCCATGTGGGATACCAGGAAGAAGCTCCTGGCTCCTGGCTCTGGATCAGCTCAGCTCCAACCACTGCAGCCATATGGGGAGTGAACCAGTAGATGGAAGATCTCTTTCTCACCTTCCCCTCCTGTTACTCAAGTGAAAAAATAAAATCTTTTTAAAAAGCTAAATCAAGAGCACAAATAATACATGCGTACTACTGAATAAATGCAATTTATTTACAAATGAAAATAACTTAACAATGAGCAGTATTTCAGACATCCAAAAAGGGGACACTGACAGCACTAGGACTCAGCCTTTTCTGTTCAGGTTCTGAGGTGGTGGTGGTGTGTGTGTGTGTGTGTGTGTGTGTGTTTTAAATATATAAAGATGAGGAGTCAGTCTTCCAACCTAAAAATATTCACTTATTAAAACTATAGTAAGACTTTAATAAACTATACAAAAAGATGAGACAAACAGAGTTTATGGAACCGCAGCTCAGCCAGGCTAGATCCCTGGAGGGGGAGTTCCCAGCCTGACGTCATTGGTCTGTGAGGTCACAGGGCGGTTCGGGTGGGGGTGCACACATCCATCCAGGCTGCCGGCTCGGCCAGCTCCGTCTCCAGATGGTCTCCTTCTGCCGTGGATGTGCACACCCAGTCGTCTGCTTCTTAGAGCAGACGTTTACCTGGAAGAAAAGCATCGTGGACATGCGTCAGTGGCTTGCATCCATGGGGGAAAAAAAAAAAAACAAAACAAGACCCAGTATCTGGCATGTTACAAAACTTTCTTTCCAAAGGCCTTTGGATATCAAGGCCGGTAAATTCTTCCAAGGTTCTGATATAAATGTCGTCCCAAATAAGCAGTAATTACGAGCTGCTGGGTAACTTCTAAGGAAGGCTCCCCCCCATTCCTCCCCCCCCCCCCCGCTGGACACTGGCAGGGCTTGTTACCTTCCTCATCCACCGCCCATGGGGGGAGGACTGGGACCGCGCAGATGATTGATCCGGCCCATTCTGCGTGGAGGGTTTCCTGGCGGCCTGCAGGAAGAAAAAAGTTACTGTGCTGTGTGGCACGTGACCACTCTGAAGGCTTCTGCTGTCCATACTCACATTAGCGCCTCCCTTTTCAACATCTATGAGACCCTAAGGTGTGACTTAAAAACAGGAACTACTGCTTAAAGTCAGCAGTCAAGGCTGATACCCTCAGGAGCCAAGCCCGTGATGCACAGGAAGGAAGTGTGTTGCACAGGGAGCATGACTGGTTAGTAGCTCCCACCGGCATCCAGCTGAGAGGCCACCCCAGCTGACCTGGCAGGCGGCAATACAAGGTGGAACCCTGCTGCCCATTGTCCTCATTGTTCCATCAGCACACGGTAAAAATTCTAGTTCTGAGTGCTGCCCACTGGACTGGACTTAATGGGCTTTTCTCGAAGGATATTTTATGTCTATTTTAGCTTTGCCACATCAACTCAATTTTGAAATTAGAAGAAACGTGACCTTTCATTTAGTCATGCATTATTTTTTTTTTGGGGGGGGAGGGAAATAGAATTTAAACTTGTAATTTCCACCAACGTAACCGCATCTAAAAATGCCTCGTGTGGTTACAATCTTCGAAGGGCTAAAAGCAACTAAGTCAACAGAAAAGACTGTACCCTCTTCCATCATCGTATCTGGAGTCGGACGAACTTCCGTAGCCTCTTCTTTTTTTCACATCTTGCTGAAGCAAAGTTTTGAAACTGAAACATGGGGTGGAAGACAAGAAGCACCACTTTTAATTACTACCATCACAATATACCTAATGTACTTCCGTTGACTTAAAGATCAGGGCATTTGAGAACACCAGGATACTTACAACAAAACCACAAACTCTGCTATTCCCCAGAAGAAATCTGTTATCAGAGATAATCTCCATGGGGACTGACTCCGGCTGTCCAGCACTTGTCCTGCAGACAAGAATAAAGCAGTTTCAGTGAGTGCCACGAACCTCTGGCCCAAGTAGGCTAGCTGGAATTACTCAGGTGTGTGCTGTCCCAAACACAAGCAGGAGTTTAACTCCAGCGGGAGTGACGGCACTCTGTTCAAATATTCCCCCTTTATATTGGTCAAAATAAAAAATATATATATATAACAAAAATTTACCATTTTAATCTCTTGGATTTTATATGGAAAACAGTTATGGGGCAGGGGGGAGAGCAGAAGGAATTCCCATTCCCTGCTTCACTCTGCAAATGGCTTCAACAGCTAACACTGGGCCATACCAAGGGAGCTTCCTCCAGTTTTTCCACACGTGTGGCAGGGGCCCAAGATCTGGGCTGTCCTCCGCTGCCTTCCCAGGCACACTAACAGGCAGCTGGATCAAAAGTGGAGCAGCATAAAATAAAAAAAAATTTTCAAAAGTGCAGCAGCTGGGACTTAGAACAGCAGGCCTGTGTTGACAACTTTACATGCAACACCACAACATTAGTCCATTTTAGTCATTTTTTGAAAAAAGATTTATGTTTATTGGAAAGACAAATTTATAGAGAGGAGAGAGAGAAAGGGCTTCTATCCGCTGGTTCACTCCCCAAACAGCCACAATGGCCGGGGCTGAGCCAAAGCCAGATTACTCCAGGTCTCCCACATGGGTACAGGGTCTCAAGGGTTTGGGACATCCTCCACTGCTCTCCCAGGTCATAAACAGGGAAATGGATGGGAAGTGGAGCAGCTGGGACACGAACCAGTGCCCATACGGAACGCCAGTGCCTGCAGTGGAAGGATTAGCCAATTGAGCCATCAAACCGGGTCCATTAGTGATGTTTTGTGGTAATCAGTACATCCCACTGTTGTCCAACCATCGCCATCATCTACGTAACTTTATCAGCATCTCCAGATAAAATCGTGTACCCATTAAACTGCTTCCCTGCCACCTGCTCCCAGCCCCTGGCAAACTGCTGCTCTATGGGTTCTGACCATTCCAGGAACCTCACGTAATACCCTTTGTGAACAGAGTGTTTCACTTAGTGTAATGTCTTCAAGGTCCAGCCACCCTGTGTTAACCAGCCTGTGTTAACATGCTCTGTATGTGCATAATGCCGCCCAAAATGTGCATATTGAAACATCTTGAGGAAACAAGATGTGGGCGTGGAAAGGAAAGCTCAGGATACACTTTCCTAAATGTGCTCAGATTTATTTTATTCACTTCCATTGGAAAGGCAGATTTGACAGAAAGATCCTGTCTGCTGGTTCACTCCCCAAGTGGCTGCAATAGCCAAAGCTGAGCTGATCCAATCCGAAGCCAGGAGCTTCCTCCAGGTCTCCCATACAGATACAGGGTTCCAAAACTTTGGGATGCCCTCTACCGCTTTCCCAGGCCACAAGCAGGGAGCTGGAAGGGAAGTGGAACAGCTGGGACATGAACTGGTGCCCACATGGGATCCTGGCTCATCCAAGGTGAGGATTTAGCCACTAGGCCATCACATCGAGCCCTAAGAATATTTCTTTTTAACTGAATAATTTCTTGAATGTAAAAAGATTAGACTCTTACAAGTCTTTAGAATGAGTTATTTTAATCAACTTGAGTGTGTGTGTAAATTGAAGAGTCTGCACGCTCTCTGAGGAAGGGTGTGTTCATGACAATGACCACTGCTTTCTGTCACAGCACGTACTTTGCTTCCAACAGCAGACTCAAGAGTTTGGGAGTTTTCTTTTCTCTCTCTCTCTCTTTCACTCTTTCTTAAGCAAAACGATCTATTTTTTCCAACTGCTTGAGATAACATAAAATGCACATGAAGTGGAAATTTAGGACTCTAGTTTCAGCCTTGCAAATCAAGAGGTCAGACTTGCAAATTAAGAGGGGAAGAACAGCTGTGGGCCACCTCTCCTCTCCAAGTGGAGCTGGCAGCTTCGCCCCACCCATCTGGGTTCACTTCTCTGGACCGGCTGACTCTCAGCTCTGACTGGCTCCCACCTGGATCTCAGCTCTCAGCGGTGAATCCAAAGAGTACCAGGACCACACACAGGACAGGCAGGCAGTGAGGGGCAGGCTTGGTTCCGGAGCTCTAAGCTCGGCTTCCTTGCTGATGCCACATCCTAGGGCTAGTCCTGCACTATGGTCAGGGACGAAGTCATCTCACAGTAAGAGAACTATTTTGTTCCCAGGAGCCTTTTTTTTTTTTCTGCCAAGCACCATGTGAATACGTATAACATCACTTGCAGGCTGTAGAAAATGACCAACTTTATACATCAGCCTGCTATAGGGCTGCTCCTGGTCAAGTGCCACCTGCAGCTGCCATCGCAGGGTGGAACCAAATGATTTTACCGGCCTTAAACAGACCGTGAGCGGGATGTTCCCCGCCCTTGGTAAACATCAGATGGCCCTTAGAAAAAAAAAGAAAGATCGCTTCAATCAGAGTCCATCACCTCTTCCTCTGCTTTTGTCATTCTGCACCCCCTTCACCCTCACCTCCGCAGCGGGAGATGCTTCAGTTCCCTCCCCAACCCCCAGCCATAAAAGTGAGATTCCAAGTCCTCACAGGATACCTACGACGCTCAAATAAAACGGGAGGCTGCTCCCTGTCATTACCAAGACGAGAAAACCTGTGTCCGCGACTTGAGAAGACGCCTGGAAGCCTCCCTTCCGTGCCCATCTACCTGCTTGTTTGATTTTTCCCGGTGAGCGACGAGGGGATTTTATTCTGCTGATTCGAGAAGCACCTGCTGAGCTGACACCCGAGGAACTTCACCTGCGTGAGCCGAGACAGTCCCACCCTGGGCCCCTTCCTTCCTGCCCCTTTCTCCGTGCAATCTAACAAGTTCGACTCCGTTCTTTCCGACACGTCACAGAAAGCGTCCGTGCAGCTCTTGACAACGACACCGCCGCCTGCGTCAAGCCCACCTGGGTTCGAACCCCGACTCCGCCACGAACTACCCCGACGACGCCAAGCCTGCTAATGAATCCCTGTGAGCCTCCCTCCGGACAGCGCGGCCACCAGCAAGGGGCCAGCGCCGCAGCGTACCCGTGTGGGCATCGCTGGCCACCGACCCGCCCCACGACCACGAGCTGAGGCAGCTCGCCATCACCCGGGCGAGGCCGGCGGGATTCCGCTCAAGCTGAACGGCCACGCCGACTCCGCATCACCGGCCGCCCGGCGATCAGCCCGCGGCAGCCGGAGGCAGCGCACGCAGGCCACCGAAGCCCGGGAGGGCGCTTTGCTCTCAGCTCCCTCCGACTCACCGTTCGAGATGTAGACCATCTTGTCTTGGGGGGGTGGAGGTCCTCGCTGGCGGAGCTGCTGGGCAGCCGGCCCCTCTCGGCTTCCGTGCCACCCTCCTGGCCACGCCCTGCCAACGTGACAGGCCAGGATGGGACTCCGTGATGACGCAGCAGGGAGGTGGGCACAGCCTATTGGCTGCCGCTTAGACACACCCCCAACGGGCGTTTTCGACTCGTCACTGAAGCTGCTTCCAGGAAGAGGGCGCCCCCTGGGTACGGGCAACCGGATGTGACGCCACGGCTTCGCCCACGAGCCTGAGGAATGGGAGGACGGGTGGGTGTGAAGTGGCTTGGAGGGTCTTTGGCAGGGATGGGTGGCGCGGAATTATCCAGACGTTTCGATGCATGAGGGTGTGGAGTATTGTGGGATTTGGCAGGAGGGAGGCGCTCGGAGGTGGTGACTATTTCCAGGAACTTTGTTGTGCCACCCAGACCATTCTTTTCAACAAGTATTTCTGCTCAGGGGTTCCACCTGGCGTTCTTACTGATTCTTAGGAGGCGACTGTGAAAAGTACAACTGGAGACCTGCTTCTGGTTGATCACTGAAGCCTGTCAGCACTGGGGTGGGCGTTCACTACAGGAACCGTGTAGCCTGGATGTTACAGTAGTCACGCATATCACCCACGCTGCGCCGTGGCAACTGACAACACTGTTATCTTAGTTGTATGGACATCCCGTAGTTTCTCATGTCCAGAATTCTACAACTGCTCTTAGCTGATCTCTTACACATCTGACTCCTTGTTCCAATATCCTACTTGGCAGTTTATCCCCATGACTGTTTTCTTCATAGCGTTTATCATGCTGTGATATGATTTTATTTCATCATGTTCTTACCTTCCTCAGAAGATCTTAAGGGTCAGGAACCCTGTCCGCCTTACTCCTTTAAATTTTTAAAAACTATTTCTCTTAAGTTACTGTTGTTGCAGGGTTTTTTGGACCCCAAATACAGCAGCAGCCTCAACTCTTGTCTCGCAGGAATTTTCTTGCAGACACAGTTTAGTTTGTAAAGTATGATTTATTTAGGAAATTAAAAATTCCTGCCTTAGTGACAGGAGGGGGCTTCAAGGGAGGAGGAAGAAAAACCCTAGAGCTCCTGCCATAGTGGCAGGAGAAAGAAGAAGCACCGGAAGAAATGATGGAAAGGGTGTCTTTTATGCACCTTGTCTGGGAGAGGGTTTACGTGACTCACCCTCAAGGGCAGAAATAATTTTTACTGCCTTGCCCCCAAACAAAAGGTGAGGCCAGTAGCTTCCTTCCTCCATCCTGAAGATAAACTGAGGTGGGGTCATTCCTTTGACAGCGACCCAGGTGGGCCAGTCTGCTAGCTAAGGGACAGGGATTCAGATGTTTAGGGAGCCCTGTTCTTTTGCAGTGTAAAAGATAGTTTTGGGCCCGGCGCGGTGGCGCAGTGGTTAAGATCCTCGCCTTGCACGCCCAGATCCCATATGGGCGCCGGTTCTAATCCCGGCAGCCCCGCTTCCCTTCCAGCTCCCTGCCTGTGGCCTGGGAAAGCAGTCGAGGACAGCCCAAGGCTTTGGGACCCTGCACCCACGTGGGAGACCCGGAAGAGGCTCCTGGCTTCGGATCAGCATAGCATCGGCCGTTGCGCTCACTTGGGGAGTGAATCATCGGATGGAAGATCTTCCTCTCTGTATATCCGCCTTTCCAATAAAAAAAAATAATAAAAAAATTTTTCTAAAAAAAGATAGTTTTACCAGAGGAGCACAATTAACATCTTAAAGGTAACTTCACCAGGGACCAGAAACACCTTAACTGCTTGCTGCCCTTATCCTGTCTGACTCCTCAGACGACAATAGAAAGTAAGGTCTTCTTAAACACTCTTGGGACATGTCAGCAATCAGACCTTTGCCATAACCTTGTGTTCTTGGGAAGTGAAGTGAAAGTGCTTATCTCATTCCAGGATGGGATCTTGGTTTTCTTTTACTCCTCAGGCAGTAAGCAATAATCTGATTAACTCAAATTGTTTTCTGTAAACAGAATTGGAAGGTCCTGTTTGCCTGGTTCTGCAGTTGGCTGCTAGGTGAGATTGAGACCACCCAGGCCTGCTGAGGTCTTGGTGGGCGGCACCAGCATTGCCCACCCATTTTCTAACTAATTAAGAGACCACCAATGGGAAATATCTTACCTGTAGATTCCCCGCCCAACAAGGAGGGGTCAGGGAATGCTCACAATCCCAAGACCCTTCCTCAAACCTTTGGTCTCGCTCTCTCCCTCCCCTTTCGAGAGGCGCCCCACCTCCTGGCTTTCTCTCCGGAGGTGCTTCCGCATTCCCTCCCCCTTCCCTGTTCACCTGGTCCCTTCGCAAATGAACTTTTCTGTCTGCAACAGATTCCCGGCTTCTTATTTCTATACTAAGCTGAGGAAAGAACCCACAGGGCATTTCTGGTAACAGGATGCAATTCTTACTGATTGAATATTTTAAGTGCCTTAAACTGGGTGTCTGTTCAATGCCATTGCAATTGATCAGATCATTTGTGTTGTGTATTGATGTAAGCTTGATTCATTGAATGATTGGCATCATGTACCAGTGCTCGCTTAGTTGATTGGAGGATCACTGCTTAGGAATCCCTGAACGCGGCTGATCAGGGTTGCTCTCCTCCGTGTGTGCAGTGCCGGCTGGTGAATAACGATTCCTGACCTTCTAAGAGTCTGCCTCTGACTCATTTTTTGGGATATATTTGGTCAATTCACAATGGAGCGGAAGAGACACAGAGAGCTCTTCCATCTGCTGGTTCATACCTCACACGGTGGCCACAGCCAGAGCTGGGCTGATCTGAGCCTGGGAACCAGGGCCTTCTTCATGTCTCCTACCTGGGTACAGGGGTCTAAGGGCTCTGGCTAACCTCCACTGCTTTCCCAGGCCATTAGTGGAGAGCTGGGTGAGATATGGATCAGTCAGAACCAGTACCTATCTAGGATGCTGGAGCCAGTGTCCTGCCCCATCTGCTGGTTCCCTTCCCACATGCTCACAACAGCCAGGCAGAAACTAGGAGCCTGGAGCTCAACCCATGTCTCTCACGTGAGTGGCAGAGACCCATGCACTTGAATCATTTGCTGCCTGCCTCCACCACCTGAATCACCAGGAAGCTGAATTAGAATGGAAGGAAGTAGGACTCAGGCCAGACACTGATATGGGATTTGAGAATTCCAAACTGAATTTTTAAGCTGAGCACTGAACAACTGTTCCCTTTAATGTTTCAAGAACATTTTTCTCATTTTGTCTTTTTTTAAATTTGTGCTCATTTGTATGAATGACTTAAGTGCATTTATTTGACTAAATCAGCTTTTAAATGAGATTCTAAGCACTGCTTTGCTTTTTACTTTTGAATTCTGTTATTTATGTATAAATTTTCTGTGGCAACTGCTGTTTTCCTAGTATAGTCAAACACATTATTACTTATAGACAGAAAGAGTAGTTGTAAGCAATAAACTAAAATGTGTGAGTGTATAAAGAAGCATTTATTTTGCCAATAAAGCTCCACTTTTAATCTTTGTACAAACAGATGGAAAAGCTCTGACTCTGATTTGATACCCCCTGTTCTTTTTTTTTTTTTAATTTTCTATTTTTTTTTTTATTAGAAAGGCAAGATTTACAGAGAGAAAGATCTTCCATCTATTGATTCACTCCCCAAATGGTTTCAATGGCCAGAGCTGAGCTGATCCAAAGCCAGGAGTCAGGAGTTTCTTCTGGGTCCCCTGCATGAGTTCAGAGTCCCAAAGCTTTGGGCTATCCTTTACTGCTTTCCCAGGCCACAAGTGGGGAATTGGATGGGAGTTAGGGCAGCCAGGACATGAACTGGTGTCCATATAGGATGCTGTGCTTGTAGGCAGAGGATTAGCCAATTCAGCCAATGCACTGGTCCCCACCCCCTGTTCTTTTAATTGGAGTTTTACCAGAAAGAAAATAGGTTTGTTTGTAACTAGCTCACCAGCAAGTTGCTGGACCACAAGGGGAGCAGCAAGGATTCAAACCCACATTTAGATATGGCATGGAGTAATAAATAGCGGCTTAACCTGATGTGCCATAGCACTAGCCCACTGGGAGAGCCTGATGTTAACATTCAGGGGAGGAATTGTTAACTAGACTTGACAAGAATATTAAGGAAAATGCTGGAACCTTACCTAGGTACCTGAGAGAGAGGCTTTTTTGTTGTTGCTGCTTTTGTTTTGTTTTTGCTAATAATTAAGCATTCAGACTTTTTCTGTTTTCAGTACAACAATAGCAATTTGGTTAATGTTACTCAAGGTTAAATATGGGTCCCAACCTCCAAAAATCAGTGGTTTACTTCTTTTGCAATGACTATCTCCTTTATTCTTGATGGGAAGCATAAGGCGGAAATTTTGAAAATGGAATCTGGCAACTGATGAAGTGTTGTCTGATATTACTTTTTTCATCCCTTTGAGTGTATTTTTATCTACTCCTTAGTGGCGTGCCGTCTTTCACATTCAGACAGATTTTACAAGAATGTTGGGGACCATATGTGCAGAAAAGTGGAGGAGCCAGTGGAGGTGGCGCTAACCACCTAGAGGATTGACCAGTCAGGTCTCTTATTCTTGGGTTCTGTTCAGCCAGCTGGCAGGGAAGGGGAGCGGGTGCAGAGGATGCCAACAGGCCTGGCACACAAAACAGACAGCCGTGGCTCAAGCCTC